CTACCTGCAGTTAATACAGAAAACATTAAGCCTACAACTGCACAGGGACAGGAATGTATTTCAAGCTCTAGTTAGTTACCTGTGTATGTCCTGTGAAGGTGACAGTGATGTTGACCTTCTCCCGAGGCCCGAGGTGTCCGCTGGGGGTCCCAAACTCCACACTGCACCGGTCCGCGTGGGGGCCTTCAGGCTGGGAGAACACAGGTTTAGTTTTATTTATTAATCTTGGTTTTGGACGGGTTTTAAAGTAGACAATGTTCCTGACCACTCCTGCTTCTCCTATTGGGTCAGTTAGTCCTCACCCCCAGTGAGTCCACCTTGTTTCCAGCATTGATGTTTCTGACTTGAGGAGAAGGGATGGAACCTAGACTAACATTGCAGTTATCTTGTTAAAACTCTAAATGGGGTTAAGAATGCTCCTGAGCAGCCTATAGCTAGGTAACCCCTGCTTTCAGTTTCAGTTTATTGCGATACCCTTTAGCCCGTTAGAGCTAATCTTCCAGGGCTCATTACACATTACACACACAGTACAATATACACATATGACTACAAATTTACATACATGAGGTCACAGGTCAGACAAGGTACTAATTATAGCTAAAATCATTAAACGAGCATATTATTGGCTAAGTATAAAACTAATATTACCATTACTAAAAAAGCTTTCTTCCATTCATTGAGTATTTCAGTATTCACTCTCAGTGAGTCCACTCACTCACTCCACTCAGTCCTCTTGCACGATGTGCGTTGAGCCTCAGTGAGTCCAGTTTGTCTCTAATTATATTTAGCATTGATGTTTCTGACTTAAGAGAGAAGAAATACTGTACAGCCCTATTCATGGAAACCTGTATGATTGGGGTGCAGCCTTTGGGTTAGACAGTTTGAATGGACAGCATGCATTCCCAACATGTAAACAAACAAACAAACAAACAAACAAACAAACAGCGTACCTGTCCCCATGTGAAGTCCGTCTCCAGTAGTGTCTGGTTGAGCAGCGTGATTTCCCGCCTTACGGGAACGTCCGTGTAGATCTCGTCGATAACCAGCTGGCAGGACATCAGACAGACCTGCGGCGTCTGGACCTCAACCTGGGCTGAAACATGGCTGGGGGGGGGGCAGTCATCAGTTTATATGTACCAACATATTTGAGTCATCACTGAATGTGTACGTCTACAGTAGTCATTACTTTTATGTTTGTTTGTTTGTTGAGATCTCCATTAGTATGGAAGTTAACTCCATACTATTCTTCCTGGAGTCCAGCAACAGTAAAATGAAATAACAATAATAATAATGCACCAACATGTTCATCACTTTATGTGTGCATTAGACTAAGTTTACTTGCATAAAATGTTATGTGCACTAACACAGTTAACACTTTATGCAGTTATGGTCATAACTCAATGCATGCAAAGTTTGTCATCAATTAATGAAAATTAATGTTATACAAACTCTGTCATTGCTTTATCCCTGATATTTCTTGACTTGTACATTCAACCATTGTCATCATCTGATCTGTGTTGTAACATTCGTGTGTACACACAATCTGTGTTACTTCATGGGCACAATTCCATGGTTGGTGAAACGTTTTAGCAGAAAAATGAGGCCACTACATTAAAAGTTTGTAATGTCGACAAAGCACATTTTCATCCCTATGTTCTGTTGCCATGGCAACCCCTCACCTGTCAGGCCCGTTGGGTACCATCAGCACGAAGACGGTCCGGACGCTCCGACAGCGGGCGGGTTTGAAGACTGCTCTGACGGCGAGGGAGCCGAGAGGAGGCAGCTCACCGGACGATGGGGTCAGCTCAAACTCACTGGCCAGCTGGGGGGGAGGGGACACACAAGTTTACAGGTTACTATTTATTTATTGCTTTGGCTGTTCAACCCTCACAGCCAGGACAGCCCAACTAGCCTGTGGCTAATACAAAGAGCTTGCCCTGCTGACAAGACATGACGAGACATTACAGCAACATATAAGGTTGCTTAATAATCTATGAAGCTATTACAACAGTCTAGATGTTAGTAAAAACTTTCTACAAAGGAACTACTAGGTTACTGTTGGCGCGCCAGCCATTTTCATTTTATGCCTACAATACATTTGGTATTTGTTACCTCTACCTTGCATTATGTTTTTATGTTTCAGGAGCAAAGGATCCTTATAGGCACAATACGTGCTTTCTGTCCAATCCTCACAAATCTATGTGAAGAATATAAACTAAACAAAGAGCTGGTAAGGGCCATACCACGTTTCCATCCTCGGTCTCCAGAAAAGCTGCGCTCTCCTGCAGCGACCAGGCGGCGCGGATCTGGCACGTGTTCCGGATGTGGATCTCCCGAACCACCACGTCACCCGGCTGCACCAGCCCGAAGTCCAGCGACGGGGTCTCGATTATCACCTCAGGACCCTAAACAAACAAACAAACAAATAGTAAACAAACAAGGCTGGCATCACCACGTCACCCGGCTGCACTAGCCCGAAGTCCAGCGACGGAGTCTCGATAATCACCTCAGGACCCTAAACAAACAAACAAAGTAAACAAACATGGTTCACATCAAATGTATGATTGTATGCATTGTATCACCCTTCCAACCCTGTCCTGCCACTTGCTAAATCATGTAATCTCACACCAAAGTATGACTGCTGTGCCCTGCATGTACAGACTGATGTGAAATACAATTCTATAAACAACATGAACAGTCTTGACTGGATTCGAACCCCGAACCCTTAGGTCCAGAGGTGTTCCTGGTACTACTTTGATGTTGGCCCTGATGTAGAGACTGATGCATATTTGCTTATGGATTTAGGCATCAGTGAGATGGTTTAGGTCACCCATATGGCAACCCTTACCAGTGGTACACAATTGGAAACAGTTACAGTTCAGGCTGGATCCGAACCCAGAACCCTTAGGTCCGGAGGTGTTCCCTGACCCACCTTGATGTTAGCCCGGATGTAGAGGCTGATGGGTTCGCTCCTGTTCTGTATGTGGCAGAGGAGTCTGTGTTCCAGAACTCCCGGCCGCCCTCCTGTGATGCTCAGCTGCATCTCCATCACATCTCCTGCTTCTGCAACAGCAAAACGGCAAGACTACACTCAATAAGGTTAATATATGACACAATATACCCGAATATATGTCAATGAAGGGTAGACATTTAGGTAATGAGATACAGCAAAACTACACTTTATATTTGTCACCAGCAGAAAAGCAAAACTACACTGCATATATATCGATGAAGGTTAGCTTAGACATCCAGGTAATGAGATACAAATAAACATATTAAATGAAATACACAAGGAAATTGTTAGTCAAGCAACTGTATAGGTTTTGAAAACTGTGACACGTTTCAAGTGGCATTCACAGGTATTTATCCAAAAAATCACTATCCACTATACACTATCCTGTGT